TCTCTATTCAAAGATAAGTGAACTTATCCTTATCCTAACTGGCAACAGTTCACTCTTAGACCAGTTGATCCTATAACCCAAACTGAGAGATTGTGTCTAGTAGCGTTGGTATACACTGAAGATTGGTTATGATCAGTAGGATATCATCTGCTGGAACCATATTTTTCTTTGGCCTATTTGTGAGATAAAATGTTTTGAGTGTGCCTGCCTGAATAGAAGTGAGTCCAGAGATATCTTGGATCAGCCTCTATGCTGATAATGTTTAAGGAGGGGGGGGCAGAAAGCAGATGCCTCCCTCCTCTAGAGAAGGGTGAAGGAAGGTCAACTCCTTGATGAATTGAAGTTTTTTTTTTCTTGGGAATAATCAAATGTTCAAGTGTGGGTTTGTTTCCCTTTGGGGGGGGGGGGGGGGGGGGGGGGGTGATTTTGTAAGCTATAAATGTTCGTACTGAAATGCTGCAGTCAGAGAGCTCCATCTCTCTGTCTGAGGCTGCTAAATCTATTTGATCATTATTGCTTGCAAGAAAAACCTCAGCCTCATTGCAGCATCAATCCATCCATCTTCTAACACTCTTATATCCCAAGTGGGGTGGCGAGGGGTGCTGGTGTCTATCTCCAGCTGTCTAGGGGCGAGAGGGGGGGGTCCATCCTGGACAGAGAGGGGGGGGTCCACCCTGGACAGCTCTCTCCTCCATAACAGTATTATAAATACTGTTGTTTACACTGAGATCCTTATTTTATTCTTATATCTTATTTCACACCGTTTATATGTGAAGGATGTAATTTTACTTATTTTATTGACTTATATTGTTTTCACAATCTTATTTTTTTTTCTTCTGTAAACGATTTAACTGCAAGAGTAATTAATTAATCTGTAGAAGGGATTAATAAAGTAATTCAGATTCTGATCAACGTAAAAGACTTCATTTAATAGGTGAATAAAGTTTTGTAGAAATAAATATTTCTCATTTAGAAAAAAAAAGCAAACTCTTAATAAATTATTGATGGCAAAGAGAATAGTAGGAAAGTAATGTAATGTAATTCCCTTTATTGTCCCACTTTGGAGAAATTCCCTCTCTGAGTTTAACCCCTCCCCTTAGGGAGCAGTGGGGGGGTTAAGGGTCTTGCTCAGGGACCCAGAGTGGCATGTAATTATATATATACATATATATTTAAAGATGTTAAATAGAAAGTATTTTTTTTTTACATTTATTTTTTGTTTTGTTGGAACAGCGCAGTTTTTCTTTCAGCAAATTGTTCAGTCTCATTATTAACGATTTGATGACCAAATAATCAATTAAGGTTATTGTTTCAGCTTTAAGAAATAAAAATAATAAACTGATATACTGGAAGTTAAGACTGGGTGGATTTAAGAAAAGACGGAATAATGGAAAAACCAACGACTGGATGGAAAAGGTTCAGGATCTTTGAAAGTGTTAATAGACAATCAAAACAGACATGAAGCAGAAATGAAATGTGGTTGTACTGTTTTAATATCAATAATCAATAGATGGCTGGTACAGACGACAGTAAACCTCATTTACATCTCAGCTCACATGTAGACATCCAATCCATGTACAGTATTTACAGCAGCAGGTCGGTTTGATGAGCCGTGGAACCGAGTCGCCGCTCGCATCCATATTTACAGCAGCTGGGAATATTTCCAAAGGAACATTGATTGGTCTCAGGAAAAAAAATGACCCGATCATTTGTTTAGTAAAAGATCTAAAAAAATGTTTGAGCACGTTCAATCCTTAAAAAGACGACTTCGGAAAAACGAGACCTTCAGCCTCAGTCTGTGTGTTAATATACCGAGACTGGGCGGATCTGATCGGATACAAAAAACACCGGAATAGGAATTAGCTGCCCGTCCGAAGCAACGACGGAAATGTTCCAGGAAACGGATCCCCGCCTGAAAAGAACAGCACTTCTGTTTGCTTCCTAAAGATGTTTCTCCTTCCATCTGAAAGGCCTCTGCTGTTTGGGAAAAAAACTGCAGGAAGTGAAGAAGCATCAGAGAAACGGTTGTTAGCTCAGATGAACCCATCAGTATGAAGGTATGGAAGCTAACATGGCGTCTTTAACAGCAGCCATCCCTCGCTCCGGTCTGAGCGATGAGAGGCGGCTCAAAGATGGCGCTAGCGTCACTGAAGGACAGATGGACGAGCTCCTCAATCAGAACCACGTCCAGGATCAAACATCACACCAAGAACAGGGAGTCAACAGCCGGACCACTGAGGCATCCAAAGCGGTTAGCTTTAGAGCAGCTTTCACTTTGTTTCCACCATCAGCACCTACCTGCTGATCATATTTAATGAGCGTTAGCTCCACCTGCCAGATGTTTCCTGTTCCTGTTCGGTGATATTTTAACCAGTATTTGGTCAGAAGTGAGGCTGACTGAAGCTTCTACATTCCTCCCTGTGGTGCTGGTTTGTTAGGTCTCCCTGCTCCAGCATTCATCCCTCCTGGTTTCCTTCCTGACTGGATCAATCTGCTCCGTACATTAATGCTGTCGACAGGTTTTCACTCTATTCTTACTTTTTTTTTTTCCTCTCTGCATTTTGTTGGTTTCAGACATGGAAAATAAATGCGTGTATCGTGAACTACACGTCTGTAAACACGTGAAAAGCCCACGATGATATGTGCCGTCTGAACCTGGCCAGAAGCAGCCGGAAACAGCCGGAAACCAGGCCGAACACACGTCACGCCCGCAGCGGTTACAAACCAGGCTGTCATTCAAAAGTGCTTCTACATTTTAAAGTCACCACGAAGCCAAACTATGTACAGTGTGGCCGTTAAATACTGTTAGACCTTCTCCACGGCTGTAGAGGATGCTTCAAGTATGAATTCATTGACAGGAAGGTCAGCGGTGCCTCCAGCGTTTAGACGCAGCCCTGGGGGGCCGCCACGGGACGCCCAGCTGCAACATGAAGGGAGGTTAGTCCCTCCGCCAGCAGCGCTGAAATAAAGTGACTTTGATATAAAAATAAAAAGGTGGAGAGGTAGAAGGACCCACCGGAATCCATCATGTCTGTTTCTCTTTAACCTCGGGATTAAGTCCCGCCTCCTAATTTATCAGCTTTGGTTTAATCTCACCATGAGATTAAAGAAGGAGAATTCATTTTAGATTTGATCTCAATCTGTTCTCCAGAAACACTGATGGATAAAACATGAGTATAAATAAACCCGGATGTTTGGCTGACGTTTAAATTAACTTCTCAATTAAAACAGATGAAAGATTTAAAATAAAAGAAGTGAAATCGTCCAAAAAGCCTCAAACATCTAGATTTCAGGATCTACATCCGTCCACCCAGACTGATCAAAGCAGAGCTCCTGGTTCTCTGAGGGCCGCCGGCTCAGGTTGAACCCGCTCGTTAAAGACGGGTCCTGATTGGTCGGGATGATGCTTCCTCTGTTGATCAAACGTTCATCTCGCCGTTCGGCAGAGAGGCAAAAAACGGCGCTCTGTCCCAACTTCTGGCTAAAAACAAACAAACACAAAGTTTTTGTGGCTTGGCGCCGCAGCGGCTCCCTCAGACGATGCTGTCGTGCAGCAGCGGCTCCTCGTCCTCGCCGCTGGCAGAGGGCGGGGTCTCCTCGTCGCTGCCTGGCAGCGGCGTGTTGATGTGGACGCCGGCCAGCGAGGATATGGCCTCTTTGTTGTCTGGGAGGGGCTTGTCATTGAGGGACAGCTCGGAGGACGAGGAGGAGGAGCAGGACGTCTTTTCAGGGATGAAGAGGGCGACGAGAAAGGCGACGACCACGGTGCACGCCCCGAGCAGGAAGGGCGGACCCGGAATGAGCGCTTGCTGCGAACAGAGAACAGGAGAAACTTCAGGAACTCAAAGGTTTCAGGAACGAATCTTTTTAAAATATAAACAGTGAGAAGAAAACGTCAGAAGCAGCCGTTCTGTGGCCGTGATCCATGACGCCTTCTTAGCAGCTGCTGTAAAATGGCTGTAAAATCATGTATTTATTTTACATTTGTTGCTTTTAAAATCATTTATCTGTCAGTCTGCTCTATCTAAATCTCCTCAAGTGGAAAAGTTTTAGTTTCACCTAGTTTTATTCTTTAATAAAAAAGCGTCTTTAAGGAAACTTTTGCTATCCAATTATTAATCGATTCATCGTTAAAAATAAGATTAATCGATTAGCAAAACAACGGCTAGTTGAAGGCCTAACTTCCAGAGCATCTAGTCTTCGGTAAAACAATATAAAAACAGTAACTGTAGGACTGTGAGGTTCCATCTTAGCCCCTCCTCCTCCTGAATACACACTCTTACTGTACCTAATAATCTGGTCGCTTTAGGGGGCGCGTACCACTGGCTGCAAGCTAACAGCGCTACGCTACATGCAGAAAACTCAAATGTTTCCAACATTTCCGTCGATGGAGACGTTTATGAAGGAGACAGAGCAGACATCTAGCCGACACGTCTGCTCAGAGCTTTTAGGAACACGCCGTCCTGCTAAGAATCTGCATAAAAATCAAGCTGTTCTATGTGACTTTGAGTTGTTGCTATAGAAACCGGTTGTGGGGGTGTGCAGTGTGACTCACAGCTGTTCTCTACAGCTGAATGATGGCCGTGCTGCAGAGAGAACGCTTCAGTTCGAGGTTTACATCCAAGGTCAACATATATACCTGATAATCTGTTGATCTCAGGCGGTCAGTTATTCCAGCAGTGACGGAGATTAACTACAAAGACTGTCATAAAAACGCTGCTGTAGCAGAAAAACAACAAATATTACTCCTATAATGTTGAGCAGCAGATATTATGCTGGTAGGAAAGAAGAACATTCCCATCATGTTATCTAGATCTTATGTCTGAAAGAACAGAAAATGTCTGGAACAGTTTTCCTACAAGCAATCTGTCCTGAATGCTTTCAAAACAATAATATAATATTTACAGCTGCAGAGATTTCAGCTTCATCGCAGGAACCGAGTCGGGTTCTCTGGAGTCATCCGTAACCATTTTGATTTGTAACTGAGTTAGCCCGTCCGCGGCGGCTAACTGCAGCCCGTCTGCGGCGG